AGGGTCAACGGTGACTTCCAGCCCGGAGCTGACCAGGTCTCGCCCTGGAGCTTACTGCAGGGATGGGGGCGTGGTGCGGCAGTGTCAGAGGTGGGGGCGGTGGCCCGCGCTTTCTTGTGAGCTCCTCCCCAGGAGCTGTACTGCACATCCTGACTGTTCACTGGATGTGCTCAGAGAACCCCTAAACCGCTCTTTTAATCTCCCTCGCTCCCCCACGCCATCTGCTCACTTTCAACACTGAAGGGCCTAAGCTTGGACCGGCTGATCTGTGACTGGGAAGGTGTCCTGAGCAAGTGGTCCTTGGGGTCATAACTGCCATTACCCTTGGGGTTCAGTTGCATCTATGGAGTCAAACCCTGAAGGAGCCCCCTGGCTCCCCCAACCCCCAAATTAAACGCAACCAACCCCCTCCCCGTGCCCTTCTCCTCTCCCTCTCTGAACCTTTCATCTGCGGGAAAGCTCAAACCCCTGTGAGTTGGCGGGCTCTTTGACATTTTCTCCCAGCCCCGGGAGCGCTGTGCTTCTTCCTGGGTGGGGCAGGGAGCTTTCATCCCCTGGGTCTCACCTGGGTGCCGGCGCTGACTAAAGAGGAGAAGAAAAACGAAACTGTGCCCCAGCCCCCAGTTCAGCAGGGGCCCTTAGCCAAACCCCGCTGCCTCAGCCTTCGCCTTCCACAGTCCTCGTCCTGCGGGGAGGATGGGGCAGCGAGGATGGACTGGGTGCGGCTGCTGCTCCCTCCCCTCCTCCTCAGCCAGTGACTCCCGGCTGAGCTGGGCACCGGTTCTCCCCGCACACTGGGCTGCACCTGAAAGGTTCCTGTGCCACCAAGCTGTGGCCACGGACCCCTACGAGAAGGGCTCGGTCTCAGCCGTTCTCTTCCCTCCCTGGGTTCCAGAGCCACCTGTCTACCTCCCTGGTCCCTCACAGGGTCACTTCTCTGGTGCCGGTTGGCTTCCTCCCTCCACCTTATTTGGTCTGGGTATTTTTAGTGAGTTCCAGGTCAGTCAACTAGCGAGACCCTGTCTCAAAAAACAAAACAAAAAAAGGAAAAAGACAAGGCCACAAGTTGACTTTATAAAAAGGAGGAATATGTACGAAGGTTCCATCTAGGAGCCTACAGCTCTTCTCTCCCTCTTCTCTGCCAGCACCCAGGGGGGACTCGAGGGATGAAAGCTCCCTGCCCCACCCAGGAAGAAGCACAGCGCCCCCGGGGCTGGGAGGAAATGTGAAGCTCCTGCCAACTCACAGCGGTTAGAGCTTTCCCACAGATGAAAGGTTCAGAGAGGGAGAGGAGGACACGGAGAGGGGGTTGCATTTTATTCCTATTAGCTATGTCTATATCAATTAACAAGAAATATTCAAGAAAACACAGTAACAGGAAAAAGAGGCGCTAATTGATATCACTTAGTGAAAAATTGTAATCTATAGACTACTCTATAATTATAACCTAAAACTTAAATGATTTAACACAGCCAATTCATCTAAAACTGCGCTTTGATGTAATGTAATTGTTGTATGTGATTCATATGTTTTCAATAATTGGTTAAAGTACCTGCAGTAGCTTCATTTAAAAAAATTTTAAACTCACATCAATTTCTGTGCTATATTTATTTTTTAATTTTGCTTATACAGACTTCTGGCACTGTTAAAGTATTCCATTAAAAAAATAACAGTTAAACAAATATTAGAGGATTACCAAACTCACTGAACTATCTGTAGTCTTCTCCAGGCTTTATATGTTTACATTGTCTAGGGCCAGTCACTATTTTAAAAGATCTTTTGAGCCAGGCATGGTGGCATACATCTGTAATCCCAGCACTTGGGAGGCTGAGGCAGGAGGATTGCCATGAGTTTGAGACCAGCCTAGACTACATAGCAAGACTTTGTCTCAAAAACAAAGCAAAAAAAAAGTCTTCAAATCTGCAAAATAGAGGCTGAATACAGGTTGTAAGCCTTATAGTAAAAAAAAAAAAAAAAAAGGTTTGGTGATTTTAAAAATACATATTTTTTATTTAATATATTTATTTGCCATTGTTATAGTTAAAATAGGAAGACATCAAAATTTCTGATTAACAAGCCAAGGGAAAATCTGTATGCTCTTAAATGCCACCTGTTATAATATTTAGGTAAACATCTCAAAATAAATAGAGACTAATATTAAAAATGAAAGTTTTATGCCAAATACTACTGACTTCTACCATTTTGGGGGGAAACTATTCATCAATGTTCTACTTTAATATCTAACCCCTGCTGGTATAACATGGTTAGAAAATGAACTATAAGTGTCAATGACTTGCTAATGTTCCCATCTACTCTTCCTGACTATCCAAAAGCAGAGGCCCATCAATCAGCACAATCTACCTTCTTTTGTCTCCTTTGGATCAGTCAGGTGAGATTCTGATCCCTGGGTTAGGAATACACTCCCAGACTCATTTGTTGGTGCAGATCGTAAAGCACTCAAACACCAAGAAGTCTCGACAAGGCAAGGTTTAACTTCTGCAGAAGGGCTTGGGCACACTCTACCATGAGGTAGTAGGTGCACAAGGAGGCCACAGCAGAATCTTTTTATCCCTAAGGCATGAGAAGCAGCTGGCCTTTTTCCCTATTGGCTGAGTTGAAGGTTCACACTCTATGCTGATTGGCTAGTTTAAGCAGCACAGAGGGAGGAGCTGAAGAGTTTCTGGGCAGGTTTGATAAGGGGAAAAAAAGTGGGGTACAGGGGAGGGAAAAATCCTTGGTTGTTGATAAGTTATCTTTGGCTGTCTACTATGTTTCTGGAATCCAAATTAAACAAAGATTTTCCATAATATGGAGACGCTCTTTTGTGTATATCTTTTATAGAAAAGACATGGCGGGGGTTTCTCAGATCTGACTAGGCAGTATCAAGGCATCTCCTCAGCCTGAAGCAGTTATAGGAACTGGACCCTTGGCCCTTATGCACCCCTTAATTAAGAATAAGGATCAAACTCTCAGGGAGGGAGATGAGATAGGATAGAAAAAAAAATAAAGATAGATAGAAAGGAAACAAGGAAAATCATAACTTTAAAAGTTGTACTTTTGGGCCAGGAATTTAGCTCAGTGATTCCACTGCCAAGGATCAAAGTTCAATCCCCAGTACAAAAAAAAAAAAAAGTTGGACTTTTAAACAGACTGCAAATCCAGTACACAAAGTTACCCAAGGTTTTCTGTGTCAGTATTCCCTAGGTCTATTTATGCTTTTTTTCTTCTAGGTCTATCACACCCCAAATCCTTTAATGACACATTAAATCCATAAAATAGCTTGGCTGATAAAGGGCAGAAAAGAACAGATAAAGGAACAGACAGAGTTCAAAGAATAATTTTAGGTAAAACATGTTAAATCACCCATTTAAAAAAATTGGTGGAGTTCATGCCTTTCACCTATAAAGTGACACATTATTTTTCTGTAGGTGAACCATCCTTTTCCTCATAAACCAAGCACTTCCTCTTCCCCCCTTTCCCTACAGGTCCACATTCTATTTCTTTGACTATGTATCTTTACATTTCTGCCTAAAAAAGTATTCCTAATCATGTAAAGGTACAAGTTCCCAATGTTGAATGTAACTGTGTTGTATACCTAAAATGTACCAATAAACTTAATGAAAACAACAACACTTTATGTCAAGTAGAAGCTAACTTAGAGGAAGGATTTGAAAAGGATCCTAAAGAGGTGTTCAGGAAGCCAGTAAAAAAATGGGAAGGGTAGGGGAAAGGCAATAAGGGAAAAGGAAAAAAAAAAACCCATGAGGAAAATGAAAAAATGGAAATAAAGTATTTGCAAATAGGGAAAGGAGGAAGGGGTGAAGGGAGGGCAGGGATAAGGGGAAAAAATGAGAACCAAGACTTGTCATGTAAAGGTACAAGATCCCAATAATGAATGTAAGTGTACTGTATACCTAGAATGTAACAATAAACTCAATGAGAAAAAAAGACAGTAAATACCTTCCAATTACTACAGCAATTACTAGAAAACAATAGTTACAATAACATCTTAATTTTAGAACAAATTATTTTAAAATGGCATATATTTATCTACCTTTGTTTTATAAAGTCATTTCTCATTAATCTAACAAATCATCTTTTGAAAAAGAGACATTAGGTATGAATATTGAATAATGTATAACAGTGCTAAAAGATTTTGTTTTATTTTTCTCTTAGTAGGCAATAAATACCTTTTATAATTGTTTCAAACCC